ACATACATGTACCAAATACAAGAGCATCCAACTACATAAGACAAATACTAATGGATGTGAAAAACCAAATAAGCAATAACACAATTGTATTAGGGAACCTCAATACCCCATTGTCACAAAAATAGATAAACTACACAAAAATCTGCAAAGAAATAACAGAACTGAATCAACCCTGTGAGCAAATGAACTTAGTAGACAGTTATAGAGTGATCCACCCAACTATATCAGGATACACATTCTTCTCAGCTGCACATGGGACATTCTCCAAAACAGATCACATATCAGCCCATGGAACATTCTCTAAATAAATGTAAAGGGATTGAAATTATCTGACACATATTATATGACCATAGTGTACTGAAACTGGAAATTAATGGCAAAAGAAATTATAAAACCTGCATAAATACATGGAAACTAAATAACGCCTCCTGAACAATCAAAGAGTTACAGGTGAAATTAAAGAAGAAATTAAGTAACACTACAATTCAATGAAAATGCAGATATAATATAATAAAATCTGTGGGATGCAATGAAAGTGGTCCAAAGAGGGAAATATATAGCAATAAACTGTCACATCAGGAAAACAGAATGAGCACAAATAAACAACCTAATGCTACCTCTCAACCTTCTAGAAAAAGAGGAGCAAGGAAAACCTAAAGCTCATAGAAGAGAGGAAATTATAAAGATCAGAGCAGAAATTAATGCAATTGAGCCAAAACAAAGAATTAATAAATCAAAGAGATGTGCTTCTGAGAGAATAAACAAAATTGATAAGCCTCTAGCAAATCTTATCAAGAAAAAGGAAGAAAAAATGTCAAATCCATGCAATAAAGACTGATAATCCAAGTAACTCATTACTACATTATCTAACATAATCCTTTGTTGGAGACCACTACAAAGTGGCTCTGAGCAGGATTTAAGAAGAGTTTGAGAAGAATTGGCATTAAATCTTCTATGAATTTCTTATAGAATTCATCTGACAATCCATCAGGACTTGGGCTTTTCTTTGTTGGTAAGTTTTTAATCATGTTTTCAATTCCAATAGCTAACATTAGGTTATTCAAAATTGTTATATCTTCTTGATTCAGCTTTGGCAGTTTATACATTTCTAGAAATCTGTCCATTTCCTCTATATTTTGCATGCTGTGTGAATAAAGATTTTCAAATTCGGGATTCATGATCTTTTGAATTTCCAGGGGACCTGTAATAATTTCTCTCTTATCAGTCTTTATTGCATGAATTTGACTTTTTTCTTTTTCTTGATAAGATTTGCTAGAGGCTTATGGTCTATGTTTATCCATGAGTCTGTCCTAGACCTTGGCCTCTTGCCTGGTGATGGGAGCTGATTCATAGTAAGTGAACTACTATGAATCACTGGTCCTGGATGAGGCCTGCAGTGACCTGTGAGACCAGAGATACCTCAAAGAGCAAGATAAGGCCACAGCTGTGGACACTTGGCTCAAACACCAATTAAGTAGATAGAGACTGCAACTGCGGTAATTACTCCTACTGTCTCACTTCTACCACGTCTTCATGATAAGACAGTTCTACTAAATTGAGTTGATTCATTACTTGGAGATGTCTTTGAAATGACTCCCATGGTCCTGCTCATTGCCTGCCCTTTGTTGTTGGACCTAATAAAAATAGGCGGTCCAGAAAAGTCTTTGTCTTAGCTCTCAGAGTCTTGAGCTCAGCTAAAGGGTTTTGACCCTTCTGGAACCCTAAAATCATACCACTTGACTCATTTTATTTAAGCCTTCACTATACACTCATTTGGAAGATTAGAGATCCAGGTTAAGACCTGATAACCCCTGGTCTTGGATAAGCACGACAGAAAGATAGGATTGTGATAGTAAATTGACTGCATCAATTTGAATAAGAAAGTTCAACAACTATACTGGATTAGCATAGTTCTGAGTATGGCTGAAGGGATTAATTGAAGGTAGATGATTCACCCTGGGCAGGCTTCTTGCCTGAACAGGATAAAAAGAGAAACAAAGGAAGGATCACTTTTGTTTCTTTGGAGGAGTCCCTGACTCATTTTCATTTTGAATGTCAGCTCCTGGCTTTCACTGCAGACCCTTCAGCCTCCTCATATGGACTTGCACAGGACTTTACAACAAGTTCCAAAAATTTGACCAAATTCTTTATATCCCTAGCATGTAGATAGCTCTTTTGTAGCCTTCTACACCTGACTCTGCAGGTGGCCACTGTCAGCCTACTAATGCACTGTGTACCTCATACTAAATATATTTCTCTAAGGAGCACTGAGTGATACAAAGATTGAATGAATGAGTAAATGTGCTGATGTTTACAAGCAGACTAATTGCAAAAAAAGAAAAGGTAATGCATATGACTAGAGGAGAGCAAGAATAGCTCTGACGAGGTGGACTGGAAATGAAGGCGTCTGTATGAACTCATCATTTTAAAAATGACTATACATGTGCATAGGTACACATATATGAAAAAATATGTACATGAATGTATAATACATGTAATGTGTATATGGATGTACACACATACAGCAGAGCCTGACCCCAGGCTAAAATCCTATGTGTGATTGTCAAGCCTAACTATAACAATGACAGAGAAAAATGTCATGAAAGAACACCTCATACTTGATTGTATAAATAGCAAGTTAGCAAAATATCACACTGTACTCCATAAGTATTTTTTGTTTGATACAGGGTCTCACTGTGTAGTTTGGGGTAGCCTTGAACTCACTCTAATGCCCAGGCTGGTCTCAAACTCAATCCTTCTGTCTCAGCCACCAAAGTGCTAGGATGACAGATGTGCACCACCATGCCCAGCCTCCATAAATGTTTACAATTAGGATTTACTAATACTATCATAAGTAAATACATGCTTAATTGTTCCTTTTAGTTTGTTCTATCATTTTAATCAACCAACTCAAAAACTAGGAACTCTCTCTGATAAACTGGCATAGTGCATATGTTAGTAAACAAAACACAGTGCCTCTCTGAGAAAGCAGAGGCCTGAAGTTCCTAAGATGAATTTGAGACATATGGAAAGTCTTTGTGGCACTCTTACATGCTACTAGAAGATCACTGCCAGAAGTTGAGGGTCTAGGGTCATACTTCTCAGCCATGCCAGTGAGTCTCAGAAAGAGCTAGTGGATGTCACAGTCTTCTTGGATAGTTCTAACAGATTATTTACATAAGATTCTTAGTTCTCAGGAGAATCATTGGTTCTTCCCTGAGCCACCAAATCATTAGCTCAACTCTCACGGTGGGTTGTATCAGAAAAATGATAGAAGGCTTTGAAGTCCCTTCACTGCACAATGAAGGAGTTAGAACAACAGATAAGAATGTTGACCAGACCAGATTTAGGTTTATTTGTTTCAATACTGCTGGTTTCATGCTCAAGCAAACCTCCTAGAGTCAGAACAATCAGTCCATGACACAATTCAGATATTCAACCAATAAATCTTTGGTCATGAAAAAAATCTGCCCAAAAAACATGACATAAGAATGGCAACTGTGTGTCCTCTGCTGGGCAAGACAGACAACAGTTGTATGAAAGAAATCTCTGGGATTATTTACTAAAAATGGGACAGAAAGAAGCAGATTGATGAGCTCATGGCCAGAGGCTGACCCACAGGCTTTACTGGATACTGAGGTCCATATTTGATGGCCACTCTGGTAATTACAGACAACATTTCCTCTAACCCTCTGAGTATATTCCAAGACCTGTGTAGTTTGTCTCTTTGATGAAGGAAGTAATCTCATTAAGGTACATGATGAGATTCTCATACAAGCCCTTTCTCTTTTCACACAGATCTTATTTCCATAAAGGAACAAGATGATGGCTGAGCCAAGGCCCCTACACCAAGATACAAGTACCTACATGAAGGTCACAGTTCAAAGTAGAGGCAGAGAGAAATTACATTTCTTGAGTTTTTTGCATACTAGTAAAAAAATTACTGTGATCCTAATGGTCCCTTAACATGAAGATGAGGAGGATCATTCTAACTTTTTTCCTGAGTCGGCTACCAATGAGAAAATTTTCCATTGCTAACTACAGGCTGATCCTTTCAGGTCCCTACAAACTCCATGAAGAAAATATATCTAGTCAATAATGATTTCAATGTAGGGTTTTCTTTGTGAAGCAACAGCAGCATTAACTCCCATCCTCTCCTTGGATTTGCTGCTGTTAAAGAACTTTTAGTGAGTTGTGTAGAAGACCATGAAACAACCAAACTACCAGCTTCTTGTGCCACACAACCCGAGGAAGAAAAAGAAGTAACCACCTTTACTCTGAGCTTTAAAAAAGTCAACTATCTTCAGGTGTGGTGGCTCACACCTGTATTCTGAGCACTTGGGAGGCTGAGGCAGGAGGATTGTTGTGAGTTTGAGACCAGTATGGGCTACACAGTGAGCTCAAGGCCAGCCTGAACTGCATAGTGAGACCCTGTCTCAAAAAGACACAAAAAAGTCATCTATCTGTAAAGTATTTATTGCTATCTGGTCTATGTACTAGACATTGCATGGCCTGGCTCTAAATGAGTTCGGGTCACACAAAGCATCAGTGCCACTTTCAGCATTCTGACACTATGAGTCTTTCTGGACTATTCTGACTCCAGTTCTTTATTTCTTTTACAAATATTGTGGATTTGATCCTATGAGTTTTTCTGTACTAGTACAGACCAGAGGTACCTGGCAGACTTTGGGCCCAGGAAATGCCATAGTCAGCTAAACCTACTCATCCTTTGTGAGACAATTATTGACCTGTTATTACCCCTGGTATATACAGACAATATGACCTTGGTCATGAAACAGTCTCATGACAAAATTCTAACCAAAACATAATAATATCTTTGACCTCAAGTTACTTTAGGATATGCATATTTTAGGGTCAAAGTATAAAATTACTTTAGGGTCAAAGTGTAAAATTTCCATAAATTATATGCATTTATGGATCAAAGCTAAAACCTGATTTTTTAAAAAAAATTTTAAGTTACCCATAATTACTTTACTTACTACTATGTCTTTCTTCTTTGGAAGCTTTTTGTTTCTTTACTTGCATTCCAGGTTTTGATGTTCCACCTTGATGTTCAAGGGTAGAGGTTATGTCTGGTTCTTCATCCTGAGCTACATAAAGACACAATGATCTTCCTTGTGACAAAATTGTAACCAAAACACATAACTACCTTTGTTTTAGGTCTTGAGTTTCTTTAAAGTATTCACATTTTAGGGTCAAAGTGTAAAATTTATATAAATTATATGCACTCATGAACCAAAAAAAAGACCTGATTTTAAAATATTAAAGTTACTTATAATTAGCATCCTTACTACTATATCTTTTCTCTTTGGACCTTTTTTGTTTCTTTACTTCCATTCCAGTTTTTGACACTGCATCTTGATGTTCAAGCATTGGAGTTTTGTCTGTTTCTTCAGTCTGAGCTATATAAAGAAAGAATGACTTTGATCATGAGATAGTCTTGTGACAAAATTCTAACCAAAATATATAGGACCAGTTTTGAGTTTGTCTTTAGTTACTTTATGGTATTCCCACTTTTTAGGGTCAAAATTTAAAATTCCTATAAATTATATGCATTATTAATGAACCAAATTAAAAAAAGAGCTTTTTTATTTAAAACTTTTTTTCATATGAACTTTGATTTTTATTTTATGTTATCTTTTTATTTTAAAAAGGAAAAAGGATAGAAATGAGACAGAATTTAAAAAAATACTACGAGATGAATACTGGTTAATATATTGCATATTGTATCTTAGAAGTAGTTGTTCAGTTTATAAGATCTAGACATAAAAATAAACAATGACAGCACAAAATGTTTTTTTTTTCATTTTGAAGAGAATAAAACCAAATGAATAAAACAGAATAGAGACAATCAAAACAAAGCAATGAAAATGGTACATGACTTTAAAACAAAATAGAAGGAAATCAATAATGCCTTTTGTTATCTTCAAAAGAACTGCCCATACCATCAGGCATTAAAAAATCAAATAAAATAGTACAGACTAAAACCAATAAAATTAAAAGAGTGGAAGCAGTACAGGACTTCAAAATAAGGTAAGAGTATAACAACAGTAGCTACTATAATGCCTTTTGTTATCTTCAAATTAGTTGCCTGTACCATTAGACATTATACAATCAAACAAAACAAAATAGAGCAAAATCAATCAAGACAAAACAAAGATATACAGGTCTTCAAAACAAGGTAATAGGAAATCAATAATGGCTACCACAATATATTTTGTTATCTTTGTAATAACCATGCATGCCATCAAATCTAATAAAATTAGACAAACTGAAACAGATAAAACCAAACTAAACAGAACAATGAAAACAATATGGGATTTAAATCTTGATAATAGGTTAACAATGGCCATTACTTTCTCTTTTTAGATACTTCTTCCTCTTTCACTTTCACAGTATCTATTGTGCATTATGAATCCCACTAACTCCATTAGTTTTTTATACTAAGGAGACAACATCATATTCACACATGTGACTCTGAACCATTTTCTCCATGAGCATGATCTCAAGTTGTCTCCATTTACCTACAAGAGCCTTGAGGTTATCTTTCTTTGTAGATGGGTAACTTTCCATTGTATAAAAGAACTTATCCACTCTGCAGCTTATGGGCAAGTTACTCCTCTTCTTTCTTGTTCCCTGTCACATATAGCAGCGTTCCCTCCCTTTGACTTTCAGTCTATGAACTCCTTTGTAGTTAAACATGGTTCTTGTATAAAGCATATTGATGGATCCTGTCTCCTGATCCACTCTGCCTGTTTTTTTTTTTTTATTGATCAGTTGAGGCCATTTATACTAGTGGTTATGGCCAACATGCTCTGCTTCTCTCTGCTGTGCTATTTTCCTGCTGTTGGCTGCCTACTTTTCTCCTTCATTCCATTGTCGGCCCCACTCGATGATTCCCCTCTGCTGCTATTCTTGGAACCATGGTCTTTTTTGTCTCTCTCTAGAATGTTCTTCAGTATTTTCTGTAGGGTTGTTTTCATGGTCATTAATTTCTTCAGTTGTTCTTTGTCATGGAAGCATCTTGTTTTTCCATTAAGTTTGAAAGATGGTTTTGCAGGGTACATCAATATGGTTTGGAAGTTGTTTTCTTTCAAGACTTGAAATACTCCACTCCAAGCTCTTTTTGACTTGATGGTTTGTATTGAGAAGTCTGTCATTATTCTGATGGATTTTCCTTTATAGGTGATCTGTTTCTTTTTTCTAACAGCTGTTAATATTCTGTTCTTATGTTCTTATTCTGTTCTTATTCTTATGTGGGGACTTGATTGTTATATGTCTGAGTGTAGATTTATTTTGGTTATGGCTAGCTGGAATCTATATGCCTCACTTATCTGAATGTCACTCCTTTTTCCAGTGCTTGGGGAGTTTTCTGATATTGACTTTAAATGTCATTTGTGTTGTCCTTTGCTTTTTTCATTCGCACCTATTATTAGTAAGTTTCTTTGGGTTGTCTTGCTGCCATTGAATTGTTATTTCCTGGTTCCTTATTATTTTGAGAGATCTTTCCTTTCTTGATCACAAGCTACAAACTTGTCTTCAAGGTTTGAAAGTTTATCTTCGGTTTCTTTCAAGTGGTTTTGCCAGCTTTCAATGGAGTTTTAATTTTCTGGATATCTCTTTCAATGTTTCAGGTATTCTATATCTTTTTTATATTGTTGATCCAAGGTTTTCTTCACTTTCCTATGCTCCTCTGTTTTTTAATCTATGTCTTCTTTAGAGGTGCTTAGCAGTTCTTTTATTATGTTTTTCATTTCTTCTTTTATCTAAGATAGTATTTCTGTTCTAATTTCTTTTATGGCCTCATGAAGTTGTTTCTTTACTACAATTGCCATCACTTCAGAAATTTGAGGTGTGATACTCCCTCTCTCTTCCATGTTTACACCTCCTGGACTTGCTCTGCTTGGGTTAGAGGCCAGAGACTGCTTTTTACATCATCATATTGATACATTTCAGGTTTCTTCCAGACAAGTAGGTAGTGGGGTCCGAGTGGGGTCACACTGAAGTGAGACTGTTTGGTTCCCCTGTCAGTGCTGGCTACAGGTATCTGATGGTGGCCACTGGGTGAACTGCAGGGCTGGCTGCTGCTTTTCCCAGCTTGTGTTGGCTCACCAATGTCTGGTGGAGTGCCTGTGGGAGTTAGGCTGGCTGCCAGGCAGAGCTGACTACCAGAAGGGAAACTGAGTGATGGTTGCTAGAATGTGCATGGGGGTGGGGCTCAGTCTGCTCCCACCTGGAAGCTACTGGAGTGATCTGGCTGCAGTTCTGGAGCCAGGCTTATCTGGCCCAACTCCAAAATGGCTCCCAGGCAATCACTTTCTCCTGCAGCAGGACTGAGTTCTCTCCATTCACCAACAGCCAGTGCAGTACTTTGTGCCCACTGCTCCCCTCCAACACTGTGTCAGTTTGCAGAGGCCTCTAGGGTCACCTGCCACCATCATCACCATGTGTCCCCAGGTTCTAACAGTTCTCTTGCACAATGGGTCTGACTCCAGGTGAAGGCACTGCCAGCTACCACCTTCTTCTTTAAGTGTTTCTTTTTTACTCTCTGTGGGCTTCAATTCCTATTTTAGACTCTTCCTGGGTCCAGGGGACTAACTGCCTTTCTTCCTGTTGTTGCATAATGTTATATTCCAGATCAGGACTGTTTCTCTCAGAGAGGCTGTTTACTCTGTTGATTACTGTTCCACCACCTTCCCGGAAGCTCCCAAACTGTTCTTTTTGATGAAAGGGAAAGAAAGTGCTCAAATAGAACGAACAACCGAGATAGGGTAAAGGAGAAAAAAAAAAAGAAAGGAAAATATTGTATGTATGTAGGTATACATATATAAATGTATGTGTGTATATCTATACAAGATAGATAAGTATACCACTAATCTTTGTTAATTTTATTTTAAAGAGAAAAATAAAACAAAATTTCAAAACAAACCATGAGAGTAATAATGGTTAATATACTGTGTATTGTTAACTTCAAAGTAGCTATTTAGAGTACAAGATACAGGCATGACAAACTGTCCAAATAATATTAGCACAAAACTTTCTTTTCAATAAACTAAGAGAAACTAATCGCATAATTTTAAGCATAAATTTATCTTATAATAATTACACTAACTACTATGTCTCTCTTCTTTGGAAGTTTTTTGTTTCTTTACTTGCATTCTAAGTATGGATGCTTCATCTTGATGTTCAAGCATAGCAGTTTTGTCTGGTTCTTCATCTGGACCTACATAAAGAAAGCCTAACCTTGGTCATGAAACAGCCATATGACAAAATTCTAACCAAAACACTTCACTATTTTTGATTTTCTTTCTTTTTTTTCATAGTGAATCTTACTATCTTCTGAGTAGTTGCCTATACTCTCAGATTTGATACTATCCAACATAACAGAGTTGAATAAATTGAGCCAAGACGGCAATCAAACAAGAAAGAGTCAAATAAAATCAGTCAAAACAAGGTAGTGAAAGAAATACAGGGCTTCAGAGTAAGTTAATAGGAAATTAAAAATGGTTACTGTAGCATATTCTGCTATCTTTGGAATAGCTGTCTATGCCCTTAAATCTAGTACAAGTAGACAAACTGGACCAGAATATAACCAAAGTAAAGAGAGAGATGAAAGCAACATGGCTTCAAATCATGATACAAGATTACCAATGTCCTCTGCCTTCCCTATGTAGACAATTCCTCCCCTTTCACTTTCCCAGGGTACATTGTACATTTTGTATCCCACTAAATCCTTTAGTTTTTTAATTAGGGAGGCAACCCTCTATTCGCCTAAGTGGTTCTGAACCTTTTTACCCCTGAGCTTGGTCTCAAGTAGTATCCATATACCTACAAAAGCCTCAAGGTTTTCCTTCCTTATAGCTGAGTAGTTCTCCTTGGCATTAAAGTGTCATGTCTTTCCATCCAATCTGTAGCTGATGGGCGAGCTACCCCCACTTTTTTTCTGGTTCCCTGACACATAGAGCATTATTTTCTCATCTTTGATTTTCAGTCCATAAACCCTCTTTCAGGTTAGTTGTATTTCTTATATAGAGCATCTTGAAAGACCCTATCTCCTGATCTTCTCTGTCTGTGTTTCTTTTTATAAGTGTATCAAGGCCATCCATATTAGTGATTATGGCTGATCTCTGTCTCATCTCTGCTATGCTATTTTTCTGCCATTGGTTGTCTACTTTTCCCCTTCATTCCACTGTCTGCCCTGTTCAGTGAGCCCTCTCTATTGCTGTTCTTGAAACCATGGTCTTTCTCTCTCTCTCTCTAGAATGCCCTTCAGTATTTTTTGTAGGGTTGGACTGGTGGTCATGAATTCCTCCAGTTCTTCTTTGTCATGGAAGCATCTTGTTTCTCCATTAATTTGGAAAGAGATTTCCTTTTGTTTCTTCCTCTTGTCATGTTTCTGGTTTCCTCCAGATGAGTGGACAGTGGGGGCCCCTGGCAATTCCTATATTAGCCACGATTACTCTGAAGCATGCTGGATAGGGATTGCTGCCCTCCCCAGTCTGCTGATGACCACTGAAGTACAAGGAGGGGTGGGGCAGGCTGGCCCCTCCCTTCTGATCTGGTCAAGCTCTGAGAGTCTTCACCACATTAATGTGTGCTACACAGATGGGCTGGTTAGGTATAGTTTCAGGGAGACCTTGTCCTTTGCTATTGGATCACGCACAGAGGTGGGACTCAGTCCAAGCAATTCTTACCAATCTGCTCGGTGCTAGGAGTGGCTGACTGAAGCTGCTGCAGTTCTGATTCCTGGTTTATCTTGCCCAATTCCAAAATGCTGCCCAGCTCTCTCACCCACTTCCATGGGAGGACTGATTTCCATGCACTCACTGAAAGGTGGTACAGATCTCCAAGCCAGATCTCTGAGTCGAGTGCTGCTCTGTGGTCTGCAGCTCCCCTCCATGACCTCTTCCTCCTGCCAAGGCCCTCAGGCTCGCCAACCCCCAACTTCACCGGAACTGTGTGTCTCCAATTCCAGTGGCTTTTCTTACACAATGGGACCAGCTCTGGTGAGAGTGAGTCTGGCTACAGCCTTCTGTTCACGATTTTCTTTTCTTTCTTTTTTTATTTCCCTTTAGTTTTTCCTGGGTCGAGAGGAAAGAGAGATGTGCTTCTCTCTGGTCTTCTCCAGGATGTTTTATTCCGGACTTGAGCTATTTCTCTCAGAGAGGCTCCCTATTTTGCTGCTTACTGATCCACCATCTTCTAGAACTCCTACATTTTTGATTTTCACTTCAGTTAACTTAAGGGTATTTACATGTTAGGATCAAAATGTAAATTTCTACATTTTCCATGCATTATGAACCAAAGAATAGGGAACTACTTAAAAAGTTTAAAGTTATCTATAATTATTATACTTACTACTATGGAGCTTTTCTTTGGAACTTTTTTGTTTCTTTACTTGTGTTCCATGCTGTGACACCAAATCTTGCTGTTCAAGCATAGGAGTTGTGTCAGGTTTTTCATCCTCAGCTATGACAACAGTAAATGATTCCAGTCATAAAATACTCTTATGACAAAATTCTAACCAAAACACATGGCTACCTTTGATTTCTGTCATCGGTTATTTGTCTTTAGTATTCACATTTTAGGGTCAAATTGTAAATTTCTACAAATTACATGTGTTATGAATCAAAGAAAAAAAACTACATAAAAATGTAAAGTTACCTATAATTATTATACTTACTGCTATGACTTTTTTCTTTGGAATCTTCTTGTTTCTGTACTTGTATTCCATGTTTTGATGCTGCATCTTGTTGTTCATGGACAGGACTTCTGTCTGGTTCTTCATCCTCAGCTGTAAAAACAGCAAATGATCTCAATCATAAAATAGATTTATGACAAAATTCTAACCAAAATATCTGACTACCTTTGACTTATCATCAGTTACTTTAGGGTATTCATATTTTAGTGTCAAAGTATAAAATTCTCATAATTTATAGAGATTTATAAACCAAAAAGAAAAGGACCTAAGTTTTTAAAATTTTAAAGTTACATGTAATTATTGTACTTACTACTATGTCTTTCCTCTTTAGAAATACTTTGTTTCTTTACTTTCATTTCAAGTTTTGATGCTGCATCTTGATGTTCAAGCATAGGAGATGTGTCTGGTTCTTCATCCTGAGCTATATAAAGAAAGCATAACCTGGATTGCAGAGAAATCTTATGATAAAATTATAACCAAAATACACAGTTACCTTTGTTTTTGGTCTTGAGTTTCTCTGGGGTATTCACATTTTAGGATCAAAGTCTACATTTCTGTAATTACATGTATTCCTGAACCAAAAAAAGACCCAATTTAAAAGTACTGAAATTACTTACAATTATTGTACTTACTACTATGTATTTCTTCTTCGGAGGTTTTTTGTTTCCTTACTTGCATTCCATTTTTTGACACTGCCTCTTGATGTTCAAGGAGAGTTTTGTTGGCCTCTTCATCTAGAACTACATAAAGAGAAAATGAGTTTGATCATGAAGCAACCTAATGAAAAAATTCTACTCAAAACATATGACTACCTTTGATTTTGTCTTCAGTTACTTTAGCGTAATCATACTTTAATGTCAAACTTTAAATTTCTACAAATGCTATGCATTCTGAATGGAGGAAAAAGAAGTATTTAAAAAGTTAAAGTTATAATTATTATACTTACTGCTATGACTTTTTTCTCTGGAATCTTCTTGTTTCTGTACTTGTATTCCATGTTTTGATGCTGCATCTTGTTGTTCAAGGACAGGACTTCTGTCTGGTTCTTCATCCTCAGCTGTAAAAAAAGTGAATGATCTCAATCATAAAATAGTTTCATGGCAAAATTCTATCCAAAATATATGACGACCTTTGACTTTGTCTGCAGTTACTTTAGGGCATTCATATTTTAGTGTCACAGTATAAAATTCCTATAACTTATATGCATTTATGAACCAAAGAAAAAGACCTGAGTTTTTAAAAATTTAAAGTTATGTGTAATTATTGTACTTACTACTATGTCTTTCTTCTTTAGAAATACTTTGTTTCTTTACTTTCATTTCAAGTTTTGATGCTGCCTCTTGATGTTCAAGCATATGAGATGTGTCTGGTTCTGCATCTTGAGCTATAAAAGAAAACATGATCTAGATTGTGAAATAATCTTATGATAAAATTATAACCAAAACACAGAGTTACCTGTGTTTGTGGTCTAAAGTTTCCCCAAGGTATTCACATTTTAGGGTTAAAGTGTACATTTCTGTAAATCACATATATTTCTGAACCAAAAAGATCTAATTTGAAAATACTGAAGTTACGTAACAATTATTATACTTACTACTATGTATTCCTTCTTTGGAGGTTTTTTGTTTCCTTACTTGCATTCCATTTTTTGACATAGCATCTTGATGTTCAAGCAGAGTTTTGTTTGCTTCTTCACCTAGAACTACATAAAGAAAAAATGACTTTTATCATGAAACAATTTATGAAAAAATTCTTCTCAGGCTTTGTGTGCTCAGCAAGGGCAAAGAGAAACAGATGTGTGTCTGAATGCCGAGCACTGTCACTGGAAAGCATTTTCCTCTGAGAGATCAGTGCAGGCCAAGAAAACCAGAAGATCTGCCTCTGCCTGCTGAGAACTGCCTGCTGGGAAGGCCTTTTCCTCAGTGTGCCAGCGTGGGGATAGAAAACCAGAAGATCTGACTCTGCCTGCTGGATGCCTTCACCAGAAGCCCCTCTTCTCTGCATGCCAGTGTGCGTAAAGGGAGACAGACAAATCCATCTCTGCTTGCTGGGTTCTGTCACCAAAAGGCCACATCCCCAGGAGGCCAGTGTGGACAGACAGAACCAGCAAAACCACCTTCACCCTCAGTTAGCTGCCACTAGAAGGCTTCTTCCTGCAGGCAGCCACATGGAGCAGAGACACAGCCAGGAAAGCTCTGTGCATCTGTAGGCCACAATTGGAGGCCTCGGTTTCCTCAGGTAGCCTCACCCACCAGTAGAATCAGACAAACACACCCTTATGTGTCTGCCAGCATCATAGGAGTACCAGTGTAGACACACAGACTGAGACAAGCTGCCCCAACTACAGGTACCCCTGATCATCAGCAAAGCCCCAGTGCAGCTGCATAGATCTAGAGAAGCCTGCTCCATGCCTTCTACCTTCCTCTAAATCTGGAATTAGAGGAAACTGGATGCCTGTCTTATTCCCTTACACTGCCTAGGAGTACCAAACGTGGGAAGTGCTTGTAGCCCCAAAACCAGTTTGTTGGGAGGAACCCAAGAGAATGTCAAGAACAAGGAGCAAAAGGCAAAGGGAGAACTCTAGTCCACATAGAATATGTCTGGGAGATACAATCATAGAAGAAAACAGAAGTCACACACGTGATATCGTTGACGATAGGAACTGAAGTAAGGAAACAACTTCATGAGACTGTAAAAGCAGTCAAATCAGAAATGATGTCTCAGGTAAAAGAAGAAATCACACACATACTGAAAAAATTGTTTAGCAGGTCGAAAGAAGACATAGACATAAAAGAGAAGCATAGGAAAATGACAGAAACCTTGAATGAATGTAGAAAGGAATGACAATGAATGAAACAGATTCAAAGAGATATGCAGGAAATTAAAAATTCAATTGAAAGCTGGCAAAAATGCCTAAAGGAAACCAAAGATAAACTTTCAAACTTTAAAGATAGGATTGCAGTACGTGTTCATGAAAGGAATGATCCCAGAAAAATAACACGGAATCAGGAAATAATGGCTGCAAGATGATGCGAATAACTTAAGAGGGATCGGTGTCAGTGAACAAGCAGGGGTCAACACAAATGAACTGAAGTTATAAAGTTTTACTGAGAAACTCAGCAGGGAGCCAGGATCCGTGCTTTGTAAATGTCCTCAGCCTGTGCAAGAGGCAGGCACAGAGAGTAGCGAGTGGCCGGTGTACAATATAAAGGAGAAGAAGTGCCCCCACCTCTTTTGCTCTGGCTTTTGCTTCTGACCTGAAATATTGCCCAAGTGCCATGCAACCCTGTCTTGACACTGATTATGGATGGACATATCCAAAAACTGTGGGCTAAATAAACCTTTCCTTCCCTAATTTTGGGTGTCAGGTGTTTTGTCCCAGAAATGAGAGAAAAGCAACCAAGACAATAATACCTAACATGTTTGTGAAATGAGAATGTTTCAAATAAATTCATTAAAACTACTTTCACCATTTTCTAGTCAGATTTAGAATTATGGTAACTCAATTATAACTTTACAAAAGTGACAGAAATACTCATATATTTACATATAAGTTGACACAGTCACAGTGTATCAACCATAACACATATCATATAGTCTAGTATTAGTAACTATTTTGTTATTAACATATTATAAACCAGATGGATTTCATAGGCTAAACAATGAAAAAAAATATATATTTAAAACCAAGCTAGCACTTGCTTATAATTCCAGAGTTCTGGAAAACTTTGACAGAAAGGTCACAATTTTAAGCCCAGTCTGAGCCACTTAGCTACTTAGCCAGACATTGTTTCAAAACAAAGCAAAACAAGGACTGGGGATGTACCTCACTGTAAGGCCCCGTGTTCAAATCTCATTACTCCAAGAGTCAAAGAAGGGGGAAAAAAGAAAGAAAAGAGAGAAACTGAGCCCTGGGAACATTTTGTTCCACTGCCAAACTGTGTAACGGAGGTACAAGATTTTACTTCATTGCTGTAGTATGTAACTAGGGAAGGATGCTCTTGCCCATTACCAAGAGGTGCCCATCAACAGGTAAAGGACTCTCGTTAGCTATCCCCTTCCACCACTGCCTGGCCATGATATTCTATACAGCTAACCACTCATAGGAGTTGCTCAAAGAAATAATGCTCTGTGTTGTTGATACTTGTAGAAACTGAAAAGCTCCTCATGGCTAAGCAATCAGCAGGTACAACATTCAGCCCTTTTGGCTCAAGAATGTCCTCCAGACTGGGAATGTCCATCTACCACCTATCTAAGACACCTAGATCAGCTTCCCAATAAGGACACTGGAAACTCCCCTTTTTATTTGTAGGACTAGGCTTTTGAATAAGTCACATTCCTAGCCTCAAAACCTCATCTCTCAAACTTAACTGACTGGTTGTAGGGTCAGCAGCTGGACCTCATTCTGGTTTAGTCATTATGGCATTGTTTGTAACTGTAAAATAGGACTGTGTAAATATTTGAGCCCCAGAGACTGCTTGAATAAACTTATGTATATACTACATGGTTTTGCTGAGTAGATCAATCTGGGTTAGAAGTTGTTTTGAAACACTTCACTCCAAACTCTACTTGACTTAATGGTTTGTGTTGACAAGTCTGCTGTGATTCTGATTAGTTTTACTTTATAGGTGGTCTGTCTCTTTTGTCTAACAGCTATTAATATTCTGACCTTGTGCTAAATTTCTGGGAAACTTAAAGATGTATTTCTCAAATTCCATTCAGTATTTAGGACTTCCACAGTCTTATCCATCACCATCAAGTTATGTAAGGTCCCTAGGATCATACAAATGTGCAGGAGCTTCTGACTGGCTCTCCAGGTGTGAAACAACCCTGCTCCAATCTGCACTGATGCATCTGACTACTGCCTAGTGCCGTCCCACAGAGAAAACAGACACTGGTACAGCTGGAGCACTTTCTGTTTATATTCCTGCATACATTATCTTAAATGAATAAAGTCTTGTTAATTTCCATTCAGCTTGTTTTTATAATTGACCAAGTAAAAACTTGGTAGCTTTCTTTCTGACAAATTGGCACAGTGAACAATTAATTAAGGTAAAATTGCTTTCTGAAAGAAGCACTTGAGAAGAGCTCTTAAGTCCAAAGGCTCTTTTGAGAGCTACCTTTAGATAATTTGTGTAAGTCAGAGGCTCCCACAGAGAATATTCAGATGTAAGGATTTTATCTTGAGAATTGCTACTGTGTACTATGAGACTCTTTAGGAGATTGCTACTATATCTATCTTTAGCTCGGAGTGTAAATAAATGTTCTTTTATTTAGTTTCCCATTCACTGGTCAAGACACCTAGTAAGTGATGAAGTTAGATATTCAGAAGATCAGTTCTCAGAAACTGAGAAAAACAATACCTTAGCTGCTTGCTTATGGTCCTCCAGCAAAGGGAACTAATTTCACTGGTTCCATTTGAGTACACTGCTTGGTGAGATGCACCTAGTGATTACTCCTAGGTTAAGCATCTCCTTTTTATTTATGGTCAATTTATGACAGTAATTTATTGATACTGTTGATGTAATGAAAAAGAATGTAGAATCAGGATCATTTCGCTTAGTGATCCAAAGAGATCTAACAGACTTGGGTAATTGGTCTCCAAAGAGACCTAAAAGACTTGGGTAGCTGGCCTCCATGATAAAAGATTTTTAAATCAATGTAGGAGCCAGGTGTATGGCACAAACTCATAACCTTAGCACTGAGGAAGCTGATGTAGGAAGACTGCTAATTCAGGCCAGTTTGGGTTACATAAATAATATGAGGCCAGCATGGGCTACAGAATGATATCCTGTCCCTAAAACAAGAAAACAAGCCAATAAACAAATACCCCAAATAAAAAAATAAATAAACTAGGGCTTATGTGACTTTTCAAAATGTGTTGAACTCTTTCTTTGGAAAATCTTGACATATGTGGCCCAAGAAAACAAGGGGAAGAAGAAAACAAAAATAGCCTCTATCTTTCCTTAGAGGGGTACTAGATGAGGTCCTAAAGGCGCTATAGCCATTCATGAGTTTTCTCTACTGAAAAATATTTTAAATCAATTTTACAGATAATATAGCAACCTCCAAACCACTTTGGTGATCCTGAAACTCATAACTGATGGAACGAGGACAGAACATGAGATTTTTAACTAGACTAATATTTTTAGATTTATGTCACAATTAAGGGATAGCATGCTCCATTAAATCTCCTCAGGTTCAGGCAACTGGTCTACCATAGACTTTGAAATGTTAACTGACAAATTACTAGGCATAGGATAATGACAGCAGCCACATCCAAGGGAGCAATAATTACTAGCAGATGGAGCCATGAAAAAACTTTAAAAGACTAATTCCTGGAAAATCTGAGCAAGGCTTTCTTGAAATCTCTGGGTCTAGTTACCCAAGATGTAATCTCAAAGAAGGACCCTGATGAGCTCTTCACAAAAGTACTCATAGACAGGAAGGAGCCATGAAGCTCAAATAGCAACACTACTTTAAGAAACGGAGGTATCATTATACATTTCAGTAACAGTTGAACTTTTCCCCATGTGCTCCCCCAGGCTCCACTCTTCCATCATTCTTCTCTGAGGTTGACCTTTTTCACACTCTCTCTATATTCTGCCATACTTTTATTTTTGCATCTAACTTACTTCATTAAACATAATGATCTCTAGTTCTATCTATGTTGTTGAAAATAACTTTTTAATAGCTGAATAG